ATATAAATAATTTTGCCTCGCGGTTTGGTATGCGCTTCACACCTGCAAAGTGTAAAGTGCTACTGCAAGACTGGGTGGGCTCGAACCCTAGCCTCGTGCTTGCGGATAAACCGATTGAGGTAGTAGACAAATTCGTTTACCTGGGCAGTTGTATCAGTCCCGGTGGCCTCACGAAAGATGAAATTTCCATCCAGATTGGGAAGGCCAGAGTAGCTTTTGCGAACCTACGTCACCTGTGGTGTAGGCGTGACATCAGCCTCTCTGTGAGTTGTCGAGTTTACAGTGCTGCGGTGCGCTCCGTATTACTATATGGATCGGAAACCTGGTCGCTGCGCGCTGAGGACGTCAAAAGACTTTCAGTGTTTGACCATCGATGTCTTTGGAGCATTGCCCGAATCTGGTGGGAACTCCGGATCAGCAATGCTGATGTACGTCGAATGGTATTCGGGAGAAATAACTCACCCTCGGTAGATGAACTGATCACACTGCACAGGTTGCGCTGGCTTGGCCATGTGCTGCGTATGCCAGTCGACCGACTTCCTAGAAGGGCTCTCTTCACACAACCACGTGAAGGGTGAAAGAGAGCCAGAAGCGGTCAAACAATGACTTGGCAGCGAAGTTTGAAGGCCATTACCAGCAAACTCAGCTGCGCTGGTCATTGCCGTCTTCCTGAATAAAGACCCCGAGACGGGCCATATCAAGGGTTAGAGACATTGTCAGACATGGCTCAGTCGTGCCCTCAATGGTGCTCGTGCATCCAAGCTATTGCCTTCAATGCGTAGCTCCATTTCCAACCCCCCCACTTGACAGCCCACTGACAGTGCTGGATTTATGCACCAATTCACCAGATCGCGCCTGCAATGCGCAGCTACATACTCCCCTCAAATCATCGGTGAACGAAACTGCGGCAGCTACAACCACTGTACGACGTGTACGCGATTCTTACAGCTGACAATGATGATGATGAGTCGGAGTGTATTTCTCTACTCAAGCGTCATCGTGCTTCCGGTCCAGCAACCTTCTACCTGAGTCGTTCAAGGATGGTGGTGAGTTTCTCAGCCAGTGCCTGTTTAGCTCATTTGAATCTATCTGGGAGAAAGAGATTGTCTCAGAAAACCGGGGTGAATCGACACTAGTGCCGATTTTCAAAAAGGTACCCCCAGTAAATGTAGTAACCATACAGCTGTTACTTTGACGCCTGTTGTGACAGGGCTTCTGGCGCCTCTGATTCTTCGTTTTCTTACGATGGCACGTGAAACCCTGAATCTTGAAAACAAAGAGGGATTTCGACCGGATAGAGGCTGCGTTGACTACACCTTCACACTCTATCAGGCGTTAGAACAACGCCACATGTACAGACGACCCACAATCCTGGTATTCCTTGACTTCAGGGGTGCGTTTGATTCTGTCGATCAATCAGTGCTGTTAACTACACTTGTTCAACAGTGTATGCCCCAGAAGTTTGTAAACATAATCCGATCCCCATATTCACATTCTTCTGTGTGGGTGAGTGTATGGTGAGCTCTCCAAAAGCCGACAAGGATGTACACACTCGCCATTCTTGGTCAAATTCCTCATTGATCAAATAATGCGGTGAACGCCGGGGAGTCTTTAAAACCCGTGTTCAAATTGTTGCTGGTGAGAGCCTTGCCGATTTGGAGTTCGGGGCGAGATGGCTGTTGTGACTTGTTGACGATCGTGCAACTGTGTACCAGTCCCTTGGCTTCCTGCTCCGCCTATTGTGGTACATCAAAACTCGCTGTATCTCTAAACGGCCGTTTGTGGAGGCAAAATAAAATTATGACAACTGTATTTATAGGGTAATCGCAGAGTGTTCCACAAGGTCGCGCTAGAATCTCCGTGTGGAGATGAGAAGCGCCGAGTTTCGCTTTGGCTGACAGTCTGATTAATCAGGGCACGCCTTCGTTTGGTCTGTGCCCTGCACGTGACACATCCGTCCAAATGATGTGATGTTAGATTATTGGGGATGACTGGCCTCCGAACAACAACCCAAGTTGTTAGAGCGTGAATTTACTCACCAGAAATCCGTGGTTCGAACCCGACCTCTTCCTCTCCACTTCCCCTGTCTAGGCTTGGGCAACCGGGCAGTATCCCAGCCCTCGTTCTTCCTTCCGGTAGCATGGCATCCAATAACGATAGTTTTTTGTGTCATCATCATCATGATCAAAGACAGCAACATCAGTGTTGGCACTGATACTTCACTGCCGTACAACCATAAGGTTCGTCTATATATATATATATATATAT